CTTCTCTCAAAATTACTTTCTGATTATGCTATTTCCCTTCCACAAAGCTCCAGTTCCCTGCCAAATGAGACAGTAACCTTAATATGCTTTCAACACCCTCCATTATCTACTCCCACTTAACAAAATTTTCTTTATTTTTGTTGATATTGCAATATAACACCCATACAGAAAAAAGTTTAAACCATTAATTGATTAAAACTAAAGTAATATCCAAGTAACCACTGCCCAGAACAAAAACACCAGAATATCGTCATTACCGCAAGAGCCGTCTTTGCTTGTGTATCTTTCTGATCATACCCTCTCCAGCATCCCAGGGCCAACCACCCAGAGCTGATTACTTCCTTGATTTTCTTTATAGTGTCTCCACTATGTACCCTTAAATACATAGTTATTTTACCTGTTCTTGAATGTTACAAAAATGGAACCAAACTATTTTCTTGGAGTATTGCTTTTTTCACTCAACATGATTCTTGTAAACGTTCATTTGTATTACTGTGTATCGCTCTGCTTTCTTCAATTTTAAGCTGTTTAATATTCCATTACATCAATATGCCACAATATATTTACTTTTCCATGTTGACAGACATTTGGATTTTTAGATTATTTCCAGATTTGGGCTATTACAGACAATGCTGCTATAAATGTTCTTGGGCATATATTTTGGTGCCCAAGATTCTCTAGTGTTCACACCCAAGGAGTGAAATTGCTAGGACATAGCTATCCATATCTTCATACTAGATAAATGTGTATGTAATTCTCAAAACCAGGCAAAATTAACTGCATATAAGGATTTTCAATCTCTACTAGATATGTAAAATGTTTTTCAAAGTGGTTGTACAAATTTAAACATCCAGCAAAGGTCACGAGAGCTCCTATTTCCTCATATCCTTCGCAGTATTTGTATTATCATACTACATTCCTTTTTACTTCTCATCTCTTACCCCTTCTTTTTGGATTTTCTATTTGTTTATTCCTTTGTACCCTGGATATTAGTTCTGACCTATAACAGGTCACTAATTCTCTCTTCATCTGTTTCTAATCTGCTGATAAACTTAGATAGTTGTTAACTTTGGTCATTGTCTTTTCTAATTCTTACATTTCTGTTTAGTTCTTTTCAAATTCTACAATGATACTTCCTTTAGTTTCCAATTTTCTGCCAAAAAAGTTTTCCCCTTATTTCCTTAAAAATAGTAAACATAATTTTTATAATATGCATCTGAAAATTTTAGTAATTGAGTCCTTGAAAGATCTGTTTCTGTTACATATTACTTCTGCTGGTTCTATATATGAAATATAACTTCCTGTTACATGATATCTTTGACTTTTGCTGTGGACATTGTATTCAACCAATCGTTTGAAGGGATAATGTAAGACCTAAAATGAAAATACTTCCTAGAGGATTGTGGGTTTTTTATTTTTCCTTCCTGTCAGGAATCTGGAGTCTATCAGTCTCACACCACCTTCAACTGCATATGAAACAAATTATGGCATTTTAGATTTTAATCCATACATTGAAAATTTTGAGGTCCAAAAATATAATATTGAAGTAAGTTGAGTTATGACGATGCCTCCTCTCTGTAACTTACTGTGTGACTTTGAGTTGAAACTTTTGTTTCCAGTTTTTCTTATCTGTTAAAATAGTACATGGCTTGTAACCCCCAAAATGGTGATTTTCCTTTTTTTTACAGTTTCCTTTCTATTTCTCTTATATTCTGTTTGTACCAGTTATGCTGCAGGTTGCTTGAGTTTTGCTTTATGTTTTTTGAGTACATAGATTTTCCAATACTAGGTTATGATTATTTTGAAAGTGGTGTCCATGACTTTTTACCATATCTCTCACTATATTGAGTGTAGTAATTTGATGCAGTAACTGCTTAATGCATGTTAAATGGATAAGTCAATGAATGAATAAATTTTGGAAATAGGTGCATTGATAAAAGTGATTAAACCAAGCTCAGTATTGCCGTAGAGAAGGAACAAGTATCTTTTCTATTATAGGTCCCAGAGCTTCAGTCTAATTTCTGTTGCTATGTTTACCTGTCCAATATATTGCTTTATTGTCCTCATAAAACACAAGTGGTCTGAGGTAGGATTTATGCATAGTGATCCAAATGGGTAATAGAGCTTAAAAACAAACCTTAAAAACATTAGTCTAGAAGAGAAGTGATAAGATGTAATAAAAGTTTAGTTAGGATGTACAATTTAAAAAGCATGTTCATCAATAATTCATCAACAGTCTTTAAAACAACCTTTAGTATAACCATTTTTATTCTGTAACTCTAATCATTTGTAGCTGATGTTGCTAGAAGCAGATTTTGACAACAAACTTTTGAAAGGGATCCATTTGCCTAGGGATTTACTTATAAAGTTGGAATTAAAAAGTCATTTCTAGGGGGAAATTCAGCATATTAAGCAAATATAACATAATCTAACATATTAAACAATTGTTCTAAAGATAATCAAAATGAAAAAGAATCACTATTTCATATGAAAGCATACATTTGGATATTATTTTTGCCACATAGAGCAGTTAGCTCTGCATTATAATTAATTAGTCTTCTTAATTTTTTAAGTGTCACCTTAAAGAGTGGTTTTGCATATCCTGGTGATTAAATTGCTGCTGTACCTAAGAGATTTGTTAGATTTTAAAGACCATGGATAAATAAAGAATACATATGGTCCAAAATTATTGGTAGAGGAACCAGTCAAATAATAAGATTTTTCATGAAGCATCTTTCCATTGGTTTGTCAGTGGATAGATGTTCAAAATATAGAAATGAATGAAATGTGTGTAAGGAAATAATTACATGCTCTCTGTTGCCAGCATGTACAACATGATATAAACAATCAATGCCCAATTAATTCTAGAATTTCTTGATCTTATTTACATGCTCTCTGAATATGATCTTTATTTTGGAATTTTTTTAACCCATTCTGAATCTAATAACTTCATGACCCACTTCAGAGTATTTGTGCAATGCATAGTCATTAGCTAGGTCTGTATTTTGTCCAGACAACCAAATGGACAGAAGCAAATTTTGCCATATTAGCGGGAAGTTTATATTTGGAATCAAGAAGATGTTCTGTATTTTATATATTGTATTAAAGGATTTGTTGAATTTTTACTTTTCACTCATTTGATATCATTTAGATTAAAGTCAGTAGTGTTAGAAATTTTCATTCATTCTCAAAACCTCTCATCTATTGATATATAAATCTGTCATTATTCATTAGCATCAAATACTGCTAAAACAGGAAAAAAAATCAGGAGCTTAACAACAAGAAATTGAAATTTTAAATTTTTCTTATATTCTAGAACCTGAGAGAGTCAGTCAGTCTTCTATAGCATTTCAAGTGCCAAGGACATAGACTTCTTCTGTCTTATTTCTCTATTATGTGTGATCTAAGATAGTTACCAGAGCTTCCAGCCAATACGTGTTCATAAGTAGAAAGTACAGAAGAACAGTTGCACAAAGCACCCTGCCTACATCACATTTGTCAGAATTGGTCACATGGTTTCATCTTGCCTGAAGGGAGACTGTGGATTGTCTTTATTCTCAGTAGTGCTAAAATGAAAATAGATACATATAATTAATGACAAAGAGGAGAACACTACTGGGGAAGAAACAGCAGTCACATCCTTCATCTAACTATTTATTTACTGATTTATTTTACTATAAAATAAGATATAAATGGTTAAACAAGACCAATTTTTAAAAAAAATAATACCAGTAGCTTAGAAAACTAAGATTTTTTAAAAATTACAAATAACACAATATCAACATAGTTATAGATGAGCATCATAATCTGGGTATCCAAAGTGAAATGGGATAGCTAAATAATTATTTACATTTTCATTATTTTAAAAAAGGCATTACTGAAGCAAAATGAAGCTCTCTTGGCTCTGAACAATTTAAAAATTTATCTCATGGGAAAACTGAATGTTATGGTGGACAATATTCCTATAATAGACGTAGTGATTTTATAAGGCGCTTACTTAGTGTCTTTGAGTAAGAGCTAAAAGCAAAGTATTATTTTACCACTCAATGAAGGCTGTTTTGTGAGTCCCTAAGGAAAAATGATCCAAAGCTAAAATCCTTGGGAATTCTGGCTTAGACCCAGGATAGATTTTAACCTGCCCACAGGACTGGGTGTATATACATACTATGGATGTAAATATTACTGTTGTTGAAAGATTCCTGAACAAGTTTAGGAAATTAAGAAATAGATTATCTAATTTTCTGTAGTCTGCCAGCATGTGTCAAACCAATTTACCGCTCTTAACACCAGGTGTTCTAAAAAGTGAAAGGGCACTATTTGTTAACTGTAAGAGGACAACAATGCAAAAAGATGAAAGAGGTGGAAATTGAAACCAATTTGCTGAATTTACTAAATTACACAAATTACCCAAAAAGTAAGTGAATTTCTCATAACAGTAGTAAAGAAATTACTTTTGCAATGAAATGTGTGTTTATATCCAAGTTTCAAAATTACTTAGCAAATAACTCCCAGTAAATGTGATGTTATAAATTTTAGCTAAATTATATGTTCTTAGAAGTTTTTGATCTTTTAAAAAAATTCTATGTAGTTTATATCTGTTAAAATATTATTTTACATATTTTGACATAAATAAACAATAACTGCCTGAGGAGAGAAACAAATTCATGGTCTCCTAAATATGATTTTATTATTGATGAATCTTAGGTTGGTCCTGAGACAGCAAGAAACATGAATTCACGGTTCCTGAAGTTTTATAATCACTTTCATCTAATTTTTGATATGGTAATAATAAAATGAGAGCTGATAAGAAACTGTGGGTGATTAAACATTGTTTGATAAAGAGATGCATTAATAACACATAAGTTATATTTCTAAGTTATTCTCACACAGTGTAAAACCAATTTTTAGACTGTTTGTAAGCAAAACTCTTTGAAGAATTAATGTTTGCTTTAAGAGAGCAGTATCGATTGACATCAAGGATTTCTCTTATTTCCATGTAGGAAGAACCTTTTGTAATGGTCTCTGAAAATGTCCTGGGTAAGCCAAAGAAATACCAAGGCTTCTCCATTGATGTTTTGGATGCCTTATCTAACTACCTGGGTTTTAACTATGAAATTTATGTTGCACCGGATCACAAGTATGGAAGCCCACAAGAAGATGGGACATGGAATGGCTTGGTGGGAGAACTAGTGTTTAAGGTAAGCATTTATTTGTTTGCTTATTTGTTTGTTTATCACATATCTAAAGGTTGACTATAACCCTTGGAAGCTAATTTCATGTAAAATAAGTGTAAGGCAAAGCATTAGGTGGCGGTGTTGAATCAAATCTCACCAATACTATTTCATGAACTTTGTGGAAACAAAAACTGATGACAATATAAAGCTAAATTTTACGATATTTCCTATAATAGAAAACTATTTCTTTATTACTTTATCTCCACTTCTGTCAGTCGTTGCTTCATTTTTTGGAAGCTCTATCATTAGGAGCATACACATTTTTAATCATCATGTCTTCCTGATGAGTTGTTGAATAGTCATGTTTAGGTCTATAATTTACTATTTGATTTCTGTGTATCTCATTTTTTCCCTCTGTTCCTTCTTTTCTTGCCTTCCTTTGGGTTAATTGAATTTTTTTAGTGTTTGATTTTATTTCCCTCTTAGCTTTTTAGCTGTATTTCTCTGTAGTTTTGTTTGTCTATGGTTAGTCTAGAGATAGTAATGTGCATTCTTAACATCACATTCTATGTAGATTAATATCATACCCCATCGCATTAAAAAAAGTAATAAACATACAGCAATATAATTCCATTTATATGTACTATATCCTTTGTGTTATTATGGTCATGTATTTATGAACTCCAAAGTAAAATGTCATAGTTTTTGATTTAAACAATCAGTTGACTTTCAAAGATATAAAGAGGGGGGGGAAAGACAGTTTCTGATATTTAACTATTTATCTATTTACTATTTCTGTGTTTTTTTATTCCTTTCTACATATCTGAGCTTCTGGCTGGTATCATTTAGTTCAGCCTGAAGAACTTCCTTTACAATGTCTTGAAGTCCAGTCCTACAAGTGGCATATACTCTTAACTTTAGTTTATCTTAAAATTTCTTTGTTTATCCTCAGTTTTAATATTATTAGCAAATAACAAACTCTGAGTTGACAGGTTTATTTTTCCTAGATACTTTTTGTCTTAGTGTTTTCAAGTGACACTGCTGATTCTGATTTATGTTTGACAAGAGCACTGCGAGTCTCAGAACACAGTCACTTATAATCAAAATATATTTTTCCTCATACTTTTTTATTATCTAAGAAGAAAATTATAGATGAAATATTATTATTCCTAAAATCAAGGCTGGTGATTTTAAAGCAAGAGCAACTTTTATTTCAAAAATAAAATTATTATTCAACAATTTTTCATACAATAATAAATGTTTTTATTATTTCACAGTATAATTGATACATAACATTATATTAGTTTCAGGCGTACAACTTAATGATTTGATATACGTATATATTGCAAAATGATTGCCACAATAAGTCTAGTTAAACATTCATTACCATACATAAAGTTTTTTTTTAATGTTCATGACTTTAAATATGCCATTCTATTGTCTTTCACCAAATATTGTTTCTGATGAGAAGTTAGCCATCATTTGTACTTTTACTCCTTTTTTATAGTGTAGGGGTGGCCGTTTTTTAATTCTCTTTTCATTTTTGATGTTCAGCTATGATTTTCTTTGTATTTATCTCTGTTAGGGGTTCACTGAGCTTCTGGGATATGTTTCACTAAGTTTAATAAATCTTGACAATTATTTATACAAATATTTTTTTCCACCCTCTTCTCTTTCTCCTCTGTACTTGAGGCTCAGAAAACATTCAAGTTAGACCTTATTAATGTTGTCTCTAAGTCACTGAGGTCTTGTTTATTTCATCATAATATTTTACTCTCTGATCTTTAGATTGGATAATTTATCGTGATCTATTTTCAGGTTATTGATTCTTTCTTTGCCATCTCCAATTTCTGTTAAGTTCATTCGGTAACTTTTTTATTCTAGGTAGCTAGAATCATTCTTACGCATGTATTGGTTAGGAGTCAACCAAGGATTTGAGGGAAGTTTATACATAGATTTTGGGGCTTATTTCTCTGTGGCTCTCTCCTTTATATGAGTCCTCTTTTGATATCTGCACAGTCTGGCTGCCTCAAACACCATCCTCTGATGCATTAAGCTAATAAGACTCTGACTTTCTGCTTGAGCTCTAGCTACCTGTTGTTGCCTAACTGAGGTGGGTCCTCAGTGAATGAGCCATATAAAAGTAGATCTCACCCAAAGCAGTTACCATCTGTCAAGGGTGGCGTACTCTTCAATTTATGTCTGCTTTCAGCTGATACGCAATCTGTTCAATGTGTGTTTTTTAAAAATTTCATCCAGAATTTACAATTGTTACTCTTTGTTGGGTTAACCCAATAAAAAATTATTCCACCATTGCCAGAACTGGAATTATTTCTGGAATACTGAAAAGTATTCAGAAAGCTAAAGGATCTAAGTTGTTTCTAAGAGATGTAGAAGAGAAAAAAAAAATAAGAGGTTTTGAAGACAGTGATAGGAAAAACAATAAAGCTGTTTTTCATATCCTTTAAAACTTTACTAACGTCAGTTTATTTAATAAACCCATTACATATGGAATTTTATTTGCAAAAGGTTAATAGAAATATTTTAATAGGCTAACAGGAATCATCAATCCTCATCTCTCTTATAAAAGCTACGACTATTTATCTTACATTCCTTTATTATAAACCCACAGAACAAGCGTTCTGTCTTTGTATTTCTGAGGGGTCCTGCCTGAACTGAACCCAGATAAGCAATTATATTAAAATAAAGATAAACAAAAGGAAAGGCATTATGCAAGTTTATCCTATAGATATAGTAGATAAAAATCCTTAAGAATTATCACGCTAACAATCTTCACTTACTAAATGCAAGTTAAAAGTACCAAGCATTATAATGAGGCTAATGTTGGTGCTGTTTTTAATTTGGTTGTGTGCTCGCTCCAGTTAGTTAGATTTTTGAGATTTACTTCCTCACCTATGAAATGAGGAATACAAGTATGTTAGTGGGAAGATCACTTCCAACTATGATTTTTTAAAAACACTTTAAGAATTTATTGCATAAAAACCACACACAAGCAATTGTATGTTGTTCTTCATAAACAATTTGTTTTTATTTGCATGTAAGAGCATATCATTATTGTATGATAATGTAAAGTTCAGCAGGGTCCTTTTACATAGCAAAAATTCAGGCTTAGAGAAGCTGACTGACAAATGTATGATTTTTTAGCTGGAAAAAATATAAAGCTATTTATTGCAACTAGATTTTATTTTCTTCAAGAAGATATTTAGCCATTCTGACTAGGCTTTAAGAAATAGGTAAAAGTGAAGAAGCTTACATAAGAGTTTGTTGGAGCAGGTAGAGACAGGGGAAGAAAACTGAGAGAATGTAACTAATGAGAACATGCTCTATAGCACAGGGTACTCTTACTTAATGCACTGTAGTAACCTAAATGGGAAGGAAGTCCAAAGGGAGGGACTTTTGCTGTACAGTAGAAGCTAACACAACATTGTAAGGCAACTATACTCCAATAAAAATTAATTTAAAAAAAAAGAAAAGAAAACAAACTTATGGTAACCAAAGAGGAGAGGTGGGGGGAGGAATAAATTAGGAGGTTGGGATTAACATATACACACTACTATATATAAAATAAATAATCAACAAGGACCTTCTGTATAGCACAGGGAACTCTAGTCAATATTATATAATAACCTATATGGGAAGAGAATCTGAAAAAGAATGGATATATGTATATATATAACTGAATTACTTTGCTGTCCACCTGAAACTAACACAACATTGTAAATCAACTATACCCCAATATAAAATAAAAATTAAATTAAAAAAATGAAAGCAACAGGAAGATAACATTTTCAGAAGGAATGGGCAGTCACTGTATTCTATTACTAATAGAGATGTATGCTCTAATTTTCAGCAACTTAAAATGTCAATTCAAGTATGCAAGTAGTAATGCAGTAAAATATCATAAAGTAATTTAGATTATCCAATAAGAATCATCATTAAAATGTTATCAGGATTATTGACCCCTGTAAAGCAAAATAACACTGTTGCAACGGCATAATAATGTCATGACAGAGTTCCAGAAAAGTGAGCTTATTATTGTTATATATATTTTACTAGTGTAGACATTTTTCATGAATCTAAGTGTATTTAAAATAGCAGTAGATATTGCCATTGAATACCTCTATACATGACGTAAGACTTCTAAAATTAACAAGACTGTCTGCCTTCCTAAGGGGAAACCAAAATTAAAAGAACGTTTTCTAGAGTATTTGTCATGATGATCATGGAAAAACACATTAAAAACGAGTCAGAGAGGGAACATGGGAAGTATCAGAGGCTTAAAAATAATGGAATAAGTTACATGGAAACTATCAATAGCTGCATGTATACAAAATTTTAAATCATCAATAAATCAAAAACAATAATAACTAAATTAAATTACAAATGATACGCTGGAAAATATTTGCAAAAGTATGATGCATTGTTAGCCTCACTGCTTCACTGCTTCACCTACATGAAGAAGTATAAAATCCATAAGAAAATACTAAGATCCCCATAGGTAAAGCTATAAAAGATACGAACTAGACTTTCAAAAGAAGAAACTGATAGATAATAGAAATCTAAAAGGAAATCTAGTGTAGTGGAGTAGGGCAATTAATAAAGTAAAAAAATAAAGTAAGTTGATGAAATATGAAAGTTTAGTGCTTTTATAAGGAAAGAGCTAAAACTTCATGTTATATTACTTGGAATTCTTTTATATGCTGTGTTTTAAAATAAAAAATAGAATATCATTGGAATTAGAAGCACATATTTCAGTCAGCAATATACTTGATAGCAGTGACAAGAAAGGTACCATAGGGAATGAAAAAAAACATAGCTTGAAATGGACCAAATAATAATTATTAGCACTTATGTAGAGCTTACTATTGCCGAAGCACTCACACAACCCTGTGAGGTAGGTAGTACTATTATCCCAATAGTGTGGATGATGAAACTGAACTGAACCCAAATAAGCAATTATAGTTAGGGAGCTAAAGAGTTAGGGAGCTAAAGTAACTTGCCCA